GTTGTAGTTATGTATGTTATAAATAATATAAAATGTAATTAAAAAAAAAAACCTAAAAAAAAAATTTGAGCTTTCTGGTAGTTGAAAAGTTTTCACTCTGACAGTTTTGAGTGATGATGTGGAATTAGACTATAGAGAGCACTTGTGCACTGCTACTTAATGGAGAGACATTTTATCCAAAAGGAATGGAAAGCATATAAACTTTGCTTTCATGGAGTGAAACTGGGAATAGGATATGTGCAACATGGACAGTCTGAAAGCATCCAGCTTATAGAGATAATATAAGTCATAGATTCAAACTGGCTAAGGCTTGGTGAGAAAATAATTTCCTGTGTGTTAATATCGTGCTTAAAGCTAAATATGCTTTTAATTTTGTATTTTCTTATTATAAGAACTCTGATGTTATTTAATGTACGTACTTTTAAGAAAGTTTTCAAAGCTTTTGGAGTTATACTGCCTTTTACTTGAAATGAAATTATAGAGTTGTATTCTCTGCCTTTATAGACTATGAGCTCCTGTATTTCAGTGTTTTTTCTTTTTGATTCAAACATGACTAAAATTTTTGACTGGACTTTTTATAATTACAAGCTGACCATTGAGATGCATTTTCTGACTGAAGTATTTGTCTAAAGCTGAAGTTCAGTTTTATGATTTTTAAGCATATGTGCTTACAGTTTTTCCTCACAACTGTATTTGATATTTTTGGATTTGCTAGTTTTAAGTTTGGAACCTAGAAATGATGTAAATAAATAGAACGTCTACATATTTAACAAGTTTGGGAATTGCCTGGAATTACTGAAACAAAAGAAACTCTCATGTGATGGGAAAAGCTTGCCATTGATGGTCTGGCTTCATTCTGTGATTAACTGTTTACTGGGATAATGTCAGCTATGACAAATCATAGAATCTGTTCTTTGCCTAGGAGGTCTATAAATTTTTGTAGCACTCCTGGGGGAGTCAGTTATCCTTATCAAGTTCTGACAAAGTCATGCAACTGCTGTGCAACAGGATATACAATCACAACTTCTGAATTAATATCAATTCACTGCTGATGTTTATAACATTGAATTTATGCCAGCAGGCATAAATAATATGATTCTGACACATATAACTGAAAACACTGCAAAATGCAATTAAATGACTGTTAAAAATTAAGAGGAAAAATGTCAGTAGATCAGTGTTGCTGAACTGGAGATGTACTCACATTGTAATCTGCTTCAGGAAGTTTAACACCTGGGAATAAATCACTTGTAATACCCATGAACAGAGGTATGTCATGTGACAAAAATTTAGGCTCGTTCACATCTTTGATTGATCGGAGGAGCTGAATGAAATAAAGCAACAGCAGAAATGCATATCATAATTTGTCACTGAACTAAATCAACAGTAAATACAACTCTCCAAAATGCAGTGTACTATTTATTCCACCTCTCCAATGCTAAATAATGAAACTGCTAAATTAGAGCATGATCTGAAATTTACTGGACTTGTGAATTAGAACTGGTATCTGGGCAAAAGGACAGTACAGACAGCAACAAGGAGGCATGTAGACACACAAGAATTCCAAATCCTTATCTCCTCACAACCATGCTAAAATTTTGCAGTAGTTTTGTAGCTTTTTATAAATCCCGGGTTTTGGACTATCATCCACAATTGGATAACTCTCAGAGGTAACTGGTGCTCATAATTATCACAGCAAAAAGGAACACTAGAAATTGCTGTTCTGGTTGGTTGTGGAGGATGTGTAAGGAAGCATTAGTAACCTGTTCACTATTTGGGATATAGTGACCAAACAAGTTTATAACTATATGTCACCAGTGATTAGTAACTCCTACATGGGTTACTTGAAAGTATAAAGGAAAGAAGTAGCACATGAATGGTGGTAAGGGAATGATCTTGAGTGGAATCATTCTGAATTGTGAATCGAGATATATTTTGCAAAATTACTCTTCAAACTTTTGATGTCCTGTATTCTGAGACTATGAAGCACTTTTTCCACTCCATGGCTCTTTCCTGGCTGCACATATAAGAATCCTACGCAATCTGGGGGACCTCTGAGACAGTTCAGTTGGGGGCTTCAGCTGCTTCATTCTGACCCTTGTGTCAGAATGAAGCAGTCACTGCACTGCATGGGTGTCACTTCCTTCCCCTCCTTTCACTCTCATTCTGGGCTAAGGGACTCCTCTGGGATGCAAAGCATTAAAGAATCGGCAGAGGAAAGGAAAGCTACTCCCATCACAACAAGTATAAATGGTGAATGTATTCTCAAAGGTGAACTCTCATATGAATGGTGAACTCTCAAATCAATCCACAACCCCGATGTGAGGACTGATTGCAATTTCAGACATAATACAGGCTACAAATCAAAATTGCAGCAAAGCTGAATCATTCCAATTCAGCTATCCAATGTAGACGCAGCCTTACTTAAAATGTATAAAAACATTATTCATAGAAAAAGAACTGAGTCCCAATAAAGGAGTACTTGGATAGCTCCAGAAGCTGGAAAGTGAGGACTAATGCTGGGAGTAAATAGTAAGTGTTGATTGCACTAGCCTTTCTGCTAAGCTGGAAGGCATTAAATCCAAATGTAAAGTAGCTACCTCAAGGTCAAAAAATGACCAGTGCCTGTCTGTGCAAGACAACCGAAGCTAAAAATAGCTATTGTGCTCTTTCCTCTCCTTTCCCTTTTCCCAAACTTTCATATTGTTCCTCAGCCTCTCCTATGTGCTCCAAGGCTACATTTAAGCAGTCCAAATGACTAGCAAAACCTTGGGACTAGCCATGGTGGTTAGCCTTCATGTTGCCCGCATGCAGTTGCAAAAGACACCTCATGTGGCAATGCTAAGCTTGGTCTATCTTAGATTATGAGGTTCCTTGTGACTGGCCACAGGACAGCAGTGTCCCATTCGGTCTTGGGGGTGTTCTAAGGAGCCAATGACACTAAGCGTATTTCTGCTTACTTTTTGCAAACTGAAGACTTGCCAGGCAACATGGGAGCTGAAGAAAAAGAGTTACAATTGGCAGAAGAGACAGAAGGACAGGGGTAAGTAGTGGTCTCAGCAAGAAAGAGAGGATATATGTTGTAAATCTCCTTGAGAGAAGCAAGAAGGTAAGAAGACAAAAAAGAGGAAAGAAATAGATTGAAAAGTGAAAGCAAACATATTGATTTCTAGGGAATTCAGACTGGAGCTGCTAAAAGAGGCTTCTCCTGTGCAAGGAAAGGAGCTTGAAATAAAACTAGAGGGCAGATCCTTTTCTGTCACTCCATCCACTACACCACACTGGAAATCTCATGAATGAATGAATGAATGAATGAATGAATGAATGAATGAATGAATGAATGAATGAATGAATGAAAGAAAGAAAGAAAGAAAGAAAGAAAGAAAGAAAGAAAGAAAGAAAGAAAGAAAGAAAGAAAGAAAGAAATTGAAATGAACTATCAAGATAACAGATATAGTCTTCCAATTGTTACAAATGGGGAAAAAGTACACAAAAGTTACTAGAAAAGGATGAGCAACAGTCCAAATCCAATAGAGTATTCATAAATGTCTGCAAGGTCAAATTACTATCTTATTTATTATTTATTTCCAAACTGCCCTTCATCCTGCCAAATTCAAGAGTACTGCACAATAATAAAATAATATGAATGTGACACTTACAAGTATATCCTCATTCTCTGATGGGAATTTCAGTTTTAGGTTACCAGCAGCTATTAATACAGCTTTGACTGCACGCATACCATAGTCGTAATGGAACTGAGATGAAAGTTGTTCAGAGCATAATCTGTAGGTCATTACTATTTTCACTGATAGTGGCTTAGCATTCAGAAACCCGTAAGAGTACAGAGAGATTTCAGCAATGAGGGCATAGTTAGGAACCATCATGGCCACTGTTCGAAAAAGAACCTAAAAAGCATATAAATATATATATATATTGCATCTCTGATAATACCCTTGGTGAATTATCTGCCTTCTTTTTATAGCACTTGCAGCTAGCTGGTCAGTATATATATATTCAGCATGTGCATTTAATTTTCCTAAATCAAACAACAAACAAACAAAACCCAAACCAGGATATATTTGATAAACTTTCATTAAAACTTTCATTAAAACTACATTTTTCATATCAGATATGCCAGTCGTTCTCTTGTTGAGAAACTGACTTTCAATTCAAGCTGAACCACCACCAACAAAAAACCCTTCACAGAGCTGTTTTGTCTGCAATATGCCACAGAAGGGAAAGAAAATGCAGGGCATTATTTTTCTTTTGTTAATTTGTTTAGGTTAATTTCTATTGCCACATTTTTATATTTTCCCCAAGACAGCTCAGTCTTAAGATAAAATATCTTGTGGCATTTTAAAAACTCACAGGTGCATCAGCTTTTACAATTGGAGTCTACAAGACTTTACACCAAATAAAATGAATTAGTCTTTTTGTTGGTTTTGCTGCAGCAGACTAATCCAGCCACCCCCAATGGAAATGTTAAATAAATAAATAAATGTTTTAACATAAAGGCAAATTCTACGTTGTCATATACCATATTTTTCCCTGTATAAGACTATACTTTTATCTAAAATCTTTAGACTAAAAATGGAGGGTTGTCTTATACACAGAAGTAAGCTGCGGAGAGAACAAAAACAAGTGGAGGGGAAATCAGGCATCAAATCAGGATTATCCCTTTCCCCCTACACTTGCTAAGCCCCACTTAATTTTGGATTGGAAAAGTGGAGGGGCGTCTTATACATGGGGCATATTATACACAGAAAAATAAGGCATATGATTATTTTATAACCTATTTGAGAAAGCTATAGAAGCCAATCACATGGATCTTTTTAGACTAATATGTCCTCTATTCATGATTTTAAGACATCAAGGCAACATCAGAACTGACTTAGTTTAACATGTTTCTTATCTTTTACCTTGAGATTGTCTGGCAGTTCAGAACGACCTGCATAACCTGGATTCATAGTAATAGCAACAAAACAGTTGGGATTAAGTTTCAGTTCAGTCCCTTCGAAATTAAATGTCTCCAGCCTCATCTGGATAGCTCTCTGGATGCAGAGGATCTGCTGAGCCACCACAGATAGCACTTCCAGTTCAATGCGATTGAATTCATCAAAGCAGGCCCAAGCACCTGAAGAGGCCAAACCCTTGAAAAACTAAGAACCATGTATAAACATTTTAGAAGCTGTATCAGGATGCTTTGACATATATGCTTGCTACTACACAAACACTAACCGCACAATAAAACCTAGCTGCATTAGACAAATAAGGCTGCAATTAGAAGATAACATTGGAAAGGATTTGCTGTGGAAATAAAATGGATATATTCATTTTTTTAAAAACCAATCAAGACAAACACCAATGTGAATCAGCCTGGACCTCTTTGCTTCCAAAGTGGAGTGTTTTTTTTCCTGCCGCTGGTGGCTTCTACTTTTTTCAAACTAGAATGATGGACTCCATGTGATCAGTTGTTTCTTTCTTCAAACAACAAGGGAAGGTATGATTGAAGGTGATATTCTGGTGACATACGAAGCTGGATGTGATCTTTTGGACAACGGAAATACCCAGTCTCACAATCTTTTTTCCTAATTACCCCAAAGTGTGTATATATTAAATAACTACCAAGTTTAGCACTCGATCACCTCTGCTTGGACAGAAAAAAAGGATAACATTGATATGAAACAGTAACAACTCCAGTGAACTACAGTGAGTAGACTATTATGTTTCTGTGCTATGTGCATATGTGTTTCTATCTTATGGAGAACTTTGGAAAACTATCCCTTTCCCCTAATGACAAGCAACACTTTGAACAGCCCACTGACTTCACAATGAATCATAAAAGGACAGCTGAGAATCAACAGAAGGGGGGGTTCAAAGGAAGTGGGGCTGTGGCATATGTCAAACCACATCAGCCAGAGTGGACACTGGCACTGAAACAATCCTCGGTCTCCATGTGATCATCTCATCTGAGCCGAAGTGCAATCAAGCTGCAGCAAAGGGGAATTGCCCTGGTTTGGCTTGCCAGTGTAGTCGCAGGCTAAGATGATTGAAATAGGAGAAGAACTACAAAAACTAGGAGACTTTGTTAAAAAATTGCTGCTCAGTCTATATTTGTACAGACAATTATTTATGTGAAGCAACAGAAAATATTTCCCACTGATACAGGCCTGATCCAATGCAGTTAGCCTGACAGATGCACAAACACAGAGAAACAATAATCAGCCTTATGGAGAAAAGAGTCTATTCTCTTCTTTTTCCTGTTTACTCTCACTTGCAGTCACTCATTTATGCCCTGTACATGCCGATGGAGCTGGGAAACTGATTTCACTCTCATGGGACTCTGCACTTTTTAAACTGTCAAATGAGTGTGCAGACAAGTACTCTTGAATGCAACAATATGGAAAACAATTTGATAACAACACCACACATGCAGTTTTAAAAAATATTTTCATCACTGGGAAGTTTATTATTTGTCTTGGGACAACAGATGGCAATAAAGAACATACTTTCACTGTGGAAAAATCAGTCATATGTCTATGGATCAGTTTTTCCATGGCACTGTTTTGAGGGCACTTTAGCATATGACTACAGTGTGTGATCATATTATGCACAACAAATCATATTTAGATACCTCAAGAGGTTTTAACAGCAGTGAGTATTGAGTGCTTACACAGTACAATCCTACCCACATAACTTTGGCCAGAAACAGACTTTACACATAGCCCATGACTGGGGAGCAAAAATTTTAACTAAAGTGAGTGCAGTATCTGTTTGTAACAGCACATGCTTCTCCTGGATTATGCAATTTTTTTATTTGCTTAATGGCTGGTATTCAAGCAATCCCATTAGACATCACTAGTTTATAAAATTAACAGCAGAATTTGGTGTACAAAAGAAAACTAAATCGTCATAACGTGGTCCACTTTACCTTTCCCATGGCTAGGTAATCAAGGCCATCAGAACAGTTGAAGACAACACACTGCACAGCAAGAGCTTTAGCCAGATCTTTGGTGGTCTCTGTTTTACCTGTCCCAGCTGGGCCCTCCGGAGCACCGCCAAGATTTAAGTAAAAAGCTCCAATCTAAGGATAAAAAGAGTTAATCAAAATACTGGAATAAAACTATTTAGATATCAACAGAATCACATCCAGTTGCAAATAACAGAGATAAAATATCACAGAAAGCATATAGTGTCTGCCACAATTTTCTTACACATTCATTTCTCACAAAAATGTATGCCTTTTTCTCTCAAGCATCAAACATTTATTTATTTATTTATTCTGCCTTCCTGTGAGCTTGCCCAGTACTACTGCAAAAACACAATTACACAAAGAAATCTTTGTACAGCAACATTAAATTCTAATAAAAAACATATGTATCTCAGTTTTTCAGAAACTGGAAATTTCCCTGGAAATTCAAATTTCCAGCCCTTTCTCCCTGCCTGTTTGCCTTCAGAGCTCTCAAAGGGCTTCCTCTGATGTCAGGGGGAAAGCCCTTTGAGAGCTCCGAAGGTGCCGATCGCAGTGGCGGGACCCCCAGGGAGGTCTTCCATGGTGGCAGGCAAGCCCTGGGAGACCTCCCTGGGGGTCCCTGCTGCCGCAATCAGGCCCTTCGGAGCTCTCAAAGGGCTTTCCCCCCGACATCGGAGGAAGCCCTTTGAGAGCTCAGAAGCCAAAAAGGCAGGGAGCCCTTTCCCCCTGCCTTTTTGCCTTTTGAAATGCTGGAATGGATTAATTCCGTTCCCATGCATTTCAACGGGAAATGGTACTTCGACTTACAAACTTTTCGATGTACAAACGCCGCTCCAAAATGGATTAAGCTCATAAGTCGAGGTACCACTGTATGCGCTGCATACATTTCATTTAAACAAATGAACTCAAGCATGTCTAACTTAGTGCAGGTTGTCTTTTTCATCCACAAATTCTCAGACCTCAAGAAGACAATATCTGAAAACTACTGTCAAAAGTGCAAGCAGAGGATATAATTATAGTTCTCTAGAGATCTCTTATCATTCTTATCAGAAAATTATTTTTAAAGCCATACCAGAGTGCGGTAACATCTGTCTGTAAGAGGAGTAATTACAAGTCGAGGAGAGTTGCCAAGATATTCATAAGCATATTTTACATTGCAGTTGATGATGCGCACACGAACATTCTCATACTCCCAGTAATACCGCAGCTGAGCAAGCCACTGAAAATCCGTTTCATGAGATACCCCTAGTGGTAATAACATAAACAGTGAGGTCCCAGTCCTCTGCACCTTCTAGCAGGCAGGTGAACCAATTTTTGATAGGATTCCGTTGCCTACTCCAATTTTCCGTTCATCTTAATATGTACATGTTGACTATGTTTAAAAAAACGTTGGCTTTTAAAATGGGGCTTAATATGTTTTTAATCAGTTTTAAGGAATTTTAAAAAGTATTTTTATGGTTATGTATCATTTTGGGGGACTGTAAGTTGAGGAGTGATAAACAAATACTGTATGTACAGTATAATGAAATCATTCTAACTATGAGAGGATTAATTGTAAAAGAAGTCATTTTTGAGAGCAATGAGGGAAGCATCTAATACACATCAATATATGGATAATTTGATATAATACATACCACTTTCTATCATTTCCATGACAACATCTCTAGCATGCACATCAATAGTGACCAAAGCACCCAGTGTGGTTCTTGTTTGTTTAGACAACTTCCCCCTTACCAGTTCTACAATATCATTTAGCTGAAGCTGTAAGTTATCGTAATAATTCTGTAACCCCTGCAAAATGAAAACACATTTGAAAAGTTCTGCCAGGTACAAACCAAATGTAGCAAATGACTAGGGTTGAACATTAACCCCAATTAAATTTAGAAGCCACTTCAGTGCATTGGGATGGATCTTGGATTTGGGCTGAAGTGATCCAGAGTCATCCAATTTGATTTATGCATCAGATCTGAATTAGTTTGTACATTTTTGCTTTTGTGCTGATGTGTATGAAATTTGGAGACCTGATAAATTTGAGAGAAGTAAGCCTGCCAAATTTTAGGCACCTATACAATTTACTATATTCAAAAAGCAAAATGTGATGCTTAAAAAAAGATATACATGATTGAGTGCTCAGTCTTGCCCATTCATTCAACCGGCTGCTTTCTGCATAGCTCATCAGTTCTCAAAGGAGGAGGAGAGTGGTGGTGTTGGCACCTTCCTCTCCATATCCTCCATCAGCCTGCATAAACCAGCTGCTCCTCAATGGGCTATGTGAATAATGCCTAGCCTGAAAAATCCTCGGGACCAAGCCATTATTGAGACAGGTGGCAAAGAAAAATGGTCTGTGTCCAGGTAGTTTTTCTGGGGGCCACTCCTGTCAAAAATGATTGCACACAAGAGCTGCCAATGAGAAAATCCTGGCTCACTTTAGGTGTCCAAATCACAAACCAAGTTGAATTGCTGCATATATTTTATTTTGGGAGAGGAGAGACTTTAGTGCTACCTACTTATTTTTAAATATTATGTGTGTCAATAATTGAAGATGGCTAGTGATTCAATAACATCAACATAATATAACAAATCTAATATATTATGAAAAATACAAAAATAAAACCAGGAAATACTAAAACAAAATATGAAATATATGTGTTATAATACCTGTGAGCCACTAGCTATGGCGTCATGTACTTCACTTGTCCAGAACATCTGTGAGACACACAGAACCACTTGACCAGGCCATTCTCTCACCCAATCTTTTCTTTCTCTTTCTGGATATGCCTAAGAAAATTAATGACATTGGTCAATATTGATATTACTAGCAAGTGAAAATACTGTGGTGGTTATTTTACAGAATTTATTCAAACCGTTAACGGATGAAATAAAATTTTCATGAACTTCTGATCATACACTCATATTTTCCCTTATTTGCTTCCCTGTGCCCCTCCTAAATCTCTTCTAGGGGGTCACCAAATCTTCTAGATCAAAATTCAAGCAATTTGCAAGGGTTGCCTGGAGGAGAAGCTGTCATTATAGTTTTGTTGGAGAAATAATTACCCCTTCCCTGTTTGGATGATAGAAATTGTTCTATCAATGGGAGTAGTTGCTTGGATACATCCCATAATCTTTTCCCCCCTCAACGGCCATGCTTTCACATTGGATCAGATATTCTAATAATTTCTCCATTGCAATGCAAACAATCAAATTTTAGAAAAAGTTGTTGCTGATTATGTCTCTTTTTCTTTCTTAAAGGATGATTAGAAGATGATCTTTAACTTGATCACCTTCTTTGATGTCAACAAGATCAACACTGAGGCAGACTTGCCCTGCAGAAATGAAGCTGATGTTGACAATGAAGTGCAACTTGGATAATCACATGGTATAACAGGGGCGTGGTGGTGCTGTGGGTTAAAGCACAGAAGCCTCTGTGCTGCAAGGTCAGAAGACCAGCAGTCGTAAGATCGAATCCACGCAACAGAGTGAGCTCCCATCGCTTGTCCCAGCTCCTGCCAACCTAGCGGTTCGAAAGCATGTAAATGCGAGTAGATAAATAGGTACCACCATGGTGGGAAGGTAATGGCATTCCATGTCTAGTTGTGCTGGCCATTTGACCACAGAAACTGTCTACAGGCAAACGTTGGCTCTACGGCTTGGAGACAGGGATAAGCACCGTGCCCTAGAGTCAGACACAACTGGACTAAATGTCAAGGGGAACCTTTACTATAACTGCTTTCAGAGACACATAGGGGAATGCCATCCTGTTGATTCTCCAAGATATTTCAGTGTCTTTTGTTAGTATCAAGCATGGTATCTGACTAGAGTGGCTCTGTGGAAAGGTAGTAGGTGGCACAGTGTTACAATGGTTTCACTCATACCATTATGGTCACTTAAAATGTGACACTGGGTGATTTCTGTTCAGATCCACTGATGTAAGGTATCATCCTGTTCAGTTTGATGCCAGGCTAAATGCCAGGCATCAACCTGAACAGGATGATACCTTACAGCAGTACCAGGCTAGCCCTGTCATGCATAATCAAATCAGGGATGCCAATTGTTTTAACATGGACTGACTGACATTCAATAAGAGCACAACTAGAACTAAGGACAGGTTTCCTAACTTGTTCAGTCTCCCGGATGCCTTATTTTGCTCCTGAATGTCTTGGATCACTCTGCTACATTTAGCTTTGGCTTTACCTAACAATCCTGCTGCTATGTAGACTTCACCTATTTTCAAAATGTTTCACCATGTTTGAGCACAGGTTGCTTGAAGACCCAGCATTTCTGGATTACTCTGATAGCCAACTGTTATTCTGTGTGGCTTTGGACTGCCTATCCTATGGAACAGTTCTCTGCTACCTCATGGGTCAGGGTCTAGGACAAAAGAATTCCACAGATAGTCAGAACAACTGAAGTGACCTACTAAGAAGAAAGCTTTTCATTTCCCTTCTGCCTACTGCTGAGAAGTACCATCAGCTGGATTTTATCCACTTCCTTACTTTCTCCTTTTCTGAGCCTCTAGTATGAATATTCTAGCAACATGAATATAATACAAAACATACCAGTCTCGATCTTGTTATGACATCATGTATACTCTTCAGCATTATATCTTCTACTTGTATTAACCACTTCTCCACAGCCCCTCGGGCTTCAGAAGTTGAAATGGTTGAAATAAGCTCCACGCGTTCACCTTCAGTGCTATACATTGACTTAATGTCCAGATTTGAAAGAAATTCCAGTTTAGCAATGCCCTCAAAGCACTTTTTCAGGTGAGGCTGGACTCTCAGAGGGTCTTTAGTCTCTGATAGGATTTCCAGCATTTCGTCATTAGACAAGAAAAAAAACCTGAAAAATATGATAAAACAGGAAGTGTTGTAAGTTATTATGTTTAGGTGTTAGTTAATTGGTCATCAATAGGGCTTTTGTAATTTGCCATGGCTAAGGCAGCTATTAGACAAGGTATTGGGTGCATCTTAATTATGCAATTGGTCATGTGACCAGGCATTCAAGTAAGAAGCTCTTTGGCATCTTGTCAATCAGTTGCATTTAGCTCAGGCAAGTTACAGTAACCTTCCAAAACAACAAAAGGATTTTGGCCACTCCATATGTTATCACTTCAGTTTAACAACAAACAATATGCAGCATACCGGGGAAAGAAGAGCCGCTTCTTCTCAAGATACGCGTTCAGTCCTCTCATTATTTTGTCCAGAAGTTCATTACAATTCTGAAGCTTTTCTAACAAGCCTGTCAGTGAAGTAGCAGCAAGAACCTAAAACAACAACATAACACAACATTACAAAATGTTCACTATGCACACTTGCAGAAAATAATGCTGTAATTGGAGAGTTACATTGAATGGGTTTGGAAAGTTTCAGTTAGTAAGGCCTGAGGATATAGACAAGGCACTTGCACATTGTAAAGCTACTGCCTCTTTTTTTCTGGTAAGCTAACTGTGATTCCAGCTCCCAAAGCTTATTTGATTTGCCAGTGTTATAACTACTTTGAAACTAATTATTCTTCTATATATTTCTTCTCATTTCCCCCTCTCTTTAGTCTAATTTTTAGCCTCAAATGCATGAGCTTTTTCTTTTCAGTCTTCATTTTCTGAATTATTATATATACCCTGACTTACAAAAAGCCTGCAGATAAGTGTGATTAAAGCCTTCAACAAAATGCTACTTATGCTATGGAAGATTTCATTCTGAAGGGTTTCAGAAGTGGTGTCAGAGCTCTTGAAATTATGTGCTGTCAACTTCCTTCTGATTTATGGCAACCTATGAGCTATTGACCGCCTAGGTGTCCTGCCGTTAATAACTCTCTTTACATCTTGAAGACATAAGGCCATAGCTTCCATCTCATTTTCAACTTTCCTCTTTTCTTCATGTCTTCAAATATTTCCAGCATTATTGTGAATCTTGTCTTCTTATGATGCACCCAAAGTACAATACCCTCCGTGTAGTCATTTTTATTTCTAGAAAGAGTTCGGGATTGATTTGGTCTAGAACTAGAGATGGGAGTATTTGTATAGGAATACGAATATCGCCCCACAAGTGTAGATAACAAGGGTTATCTACACCCTTCTGCTGCTGCTGTGGGCTCCGCGCTACCTTCCTATTGCTCCGTTGCTCGTGATAGATTAGCTAGTCCTGGCAGAAGGCGGGATGATGAGCCTCTCTCTTGCAGAGTGGCTAATCCATCACAAGCAATGGAAAGAAAGAAAGAAAGGCATCGTAGAGCTCGTGGCAGTGACAGAAACGTCCCCCCGGGGGCCGGACCCTTGTTATCTGCACCTGTGGGGGGATATTTATTTATTTATTTATTTATTTATTTTATTTATTTAATTTATACCCCGCCTATCTGGCCCACCGGACCACTCTAGGCAGCTTCCAAATATAAAATCAAATAATAAAACATAGAGAAATACATAATAATCAAACAAGAACAGCAGTAAAAATAACAAGGAAAAGTAAGAAAAAATCAAGAATTGGCTGGAGGGAAGGCCTGAATAAACAGCCATGTTTTTAATTGGGTTTTAAAGGTGCCCAGCGTGGGGGCCGCGTGAATCTCCGGAGGGAGATTGTTCCAGAGGTGAGGAGCCACCGCCGAGAAGGCCGGTTTCGTGTCTTCTCCTTCCGGGTCTCTCTCGGCGTCAGGCTCCTCAGCCTCACCTCCTGACTTGCGCGGGTGATCCGGGTAGACCTTGGTGGGAGGAGGCGTTCCGCCAAATATCGAGGTCCTAAACCGTTTAGGGCCTTATAAGTAAGCATTAAAACTTTGAAGTTGACACAGAAACAGATGGGCAGCCAATGCAATGCGGCCAGCGTTGGAGAGATGTGTTGATATTTTCTCACTCCTGTAAGGAGCCTGGCCGCCGCATTCTGCACCACCTGAAGTTTCTGTGTCAGCCTCAAAGGCATCTCCACGTAGAGCGCGTTACAGTGATCTAATCTTGAGATTACGAGCGCATGCACCAAGGTAGTGAGCGCCCCCATGACGAGATAGGGGATATTTGGATACAAATGCTCTATCTCTATCTAGAACCCATTTACTTTTCTTTGCGGAAGCCCATGGGATCCATAAGGTATCCATAATATTCTCTTTCAACAACATATTTGGAATAAATTGATTATTTTTCTGTCAGCTTTCTCCACTGTCCAGCTTTCACATCCATACATACTAATTGAGAATACCATAATACGGATGATGTTGGCCCTGTTCTTTGGTGACAATCCCTATACTTAAGAAATTTTCCTAGTTTCTTCCACCTGCCCTTCTAGGTCTGATTTTGAGGCTGCAATGTCCATTTGGACTGATAATTCAACCAAGGTATAGAAATCCTTTATTTCTTCACTGTCAACATTAAAGTTAAATAATTATTCTATAGTCATGTGTTTTCTCTTTTCAACTTTTAACTCTAATCCTGCTTTTGCACTTCCTTCTTCCTTCCCTAGTAGCCATTTCAAATCATTGCTGCTTTCTGCAAATCATATGGGATCATATGCATATCTAAAATGCATATGCAATTTTCACCCCTTTCAGCTGAATTTAACCCAGTGTTTTGTATTATATATTCTATATACAGATTGAACACACAGAAAGATAAAATAAACCTTGTCCAACACCTTTGCCAAAGGCAAACTATTCTGTTTCTCCTTATTCTATCCTAATAGTAGCCTCTTGTCCAGAGTATAGGTTACACATCAGGACAATCAAGTGTTGCGGCGTACACTTTCTTTTAGAATGATCCATAGCTTCTCACAATCCCCAGAGTCAGAGGTTTTGCTTTTATCTATGAAGCACAGACTGCTTTTCCTCTAAAAATATTGGATATGCTAATGCATATTTCCAGGCTGATATCTAGTTCCTCTTCCTTTTCAGAATCTAGTTAGAAATGTTCATAGATTACCCACAAAGTTTAATATTATTTGGTCAGACCTTGATTTATAATTTCTAACTACTCATGCTGTGTCTTGTCTCACTAAAGAGTTGCCATAAGTTGTAATCAACTAGATGGCATGTAATTACTATTACTATTATTTCTTCCAGAACTGGGTCTCAAGGTGGCTTAAACTAATCCTTGCTAATCCTTACTACTTTACCTTGGGGTCTTTGGCACAGTATTTCATAATGTCTTTCCAATATCTGTCCACAGTCAGGAACTGGCGTCCCTCCTCTGGCATCTGTTGCATTATGTCCTCAGAAGAAAAGATTGGTTCCAAGTACAGCCACTGAGCCTGCACTTTCAACCATTCATCAATAGTTTCTTGAATTCTAATCAAGCGGTCCTCCCATTCCTTAAAAATACAATCAAGTTAGCGTAAGATATTCATAATATGTAGGTTAAAACAAAAATCAAAGAACTGAATTTAAAGAGCTTGTGCCTATGTTACCAAAAAAACCTAATACAAATGAAGGAGAGTCAAAGAAACCTCTCCACTCATTCATTTTGGGGCCCAGTTTAGTTAACACTCCTCCTTTGTATTCTCTGCACCTATGGCTGAAAGCAAACATTCTCCTAACCGTTTGTGTAGAAACTCTGGCCATTCATCAGCCCATTTTAAGCATAGTTAGTATCAGCACTGCATCAACTACGCATAGTTAATGCTTAGCAGAATTTTTTAAACACAATCCTAAACAAGATTATACTTCAGCTGCAATGGTGTAAACCTCTCAGAATCATGATAGCTTGGTTTTCTAAGATTTTGAGGTTTACTGCGTTGAGCGATTTTTATGCACAGAGTAGATGTGATATAAAACTGAAAATGAAGGAATAAAAGAATGGAAAGTCAAACAGATCTCACACTTAAGAGAAACTGTTGCTTTCCATTAGGGCCTTCAAACTGTACTTAATTTTTTAAGTCTGCATTTAATCAAACTGATTTATTGAAGTAAATTAGTTCAGTATAAAGAACAATTTCAAGCCATCCTAGTGCTATTTAATAATTTAAAATAATGTGCTTGCCTTAAGGCTAACAAAAGGCTAACAAAAATTAATAATAACCATGCATAGAAATGCACTGTAATCAACCTAAATATGTGAATACATTCTGAATTAAAAGATGACTTACATAATACTATGCAAAAATACCTTTATTTGTTTTTCAAATGGTTTGATGAAAGGCGATCCTCTCATTGTTTGTGTTTTTACAATCTGGTCATCCAGAATAGTTTGAATTTCATCAACTGCACACAGAATATTCACTCCAGTCTCCCGATACAAGCTTATTTGGAAGGAAATTGACTCCCAAACTTCCAACATAGTGTGCATTGCTTTCTCTAATGAGAATTCCTATAGCAGATTGGAAATAAATTATTGTCTCATAAAAGTAATTGTCTAGAGCTCAGATACAAGAGTTAGTTTGTCCTTACCTTGCTTGCCCCCATACTTATGGTTTCAAATTGTTCTAAGTACGGGGTTAAGTTCTGCTTCAAAACTTTTCTCAGGGTAGTTCCAGAATCTGGAGTTAAATCATACCCAACAATTTCTGACATTTGTTTCCAATGACGGGCCCGTATTCCTGGGTTACAAAGAATAGTCACCAAAGGAATATTTTCCTAGTTGAGAAAAAAACAATTTAAAGTATTTATTTATTTATTTATTTCATTTATACCCCGCCTATCTAGTAGATTGTGACCACTCTAGGCAGCTATGTTTGTATGTTTCACTACTGTAACCAATATCCTAAAAACTATATTGCACACATTTAGACTCTTTGGTACTGGTGTTAATGCCTTAGCGAGTTCCTAAAGTAGTTTAAGAGATGGATAGCTCAGCATATTTTTATATTATAATGAAACTATATTTTATGGAAGTGTCCATATATAATTTATTACTAGAACATTAATGCAATATACTTTAATACACAATATATTCTTAACTGCTCCCCAACACACTTCTGTACGTACAGACAACAAAGTAAACAAGTCTCTGCTGCAGGTCATGCATACTATTATAAATATCCACTAACTTTGAAATCTTTAACCTGCTCCATGACTGCAGAACACATTGAAATGGTTGGACTGTCCTTTTTTTCTTCCTCTACCCTCTCTTCCACAACGGCTCTGCGCACTGATTTTTTTCTTTCTATTTCAGCTTTCTTCAGCTTTTGTTGAAAGAACCTTAATGTCTTATAAATTTCACGAAAAAACTCATCCACTTCACTTTCCATCTTTTCCCCATTGAGATCTAAAAAAGCACCATCCATCCATCTAGAAAAAGCAAAGCAAAGGTGAATCCTAAAGAGGAATACTTTTAACTTTCACACACATGCATCAACATATAAATTTTATAAAAATATATTTTATCACAGAAAAATTGAAAGAAATCTTCAGAATGTTAGATGAGAAAAAATGAACTCAACATAAAAAACATAAATCATTCTTATGAGACTAAGATTTCCTTTGTAAGCAGCCTGAGCAATAGAACAGTAGACAGCTGAAGAAGGTCTTGTCACAACCTGGATAAAGAAACCCTTGCAGTCAGTAGATCAACTCATGAATATTAAAACAAATTGACTGCTTCACAAAGAAAAGTGGAATCAACCATGAGTAGTTTTGATGGTGCTCTTGGAAAGTGCACACCTGGAAAGAGGAGTTGAACACTTTTGAGAAGAAAAGGCCAGTACTGGTCTGAAACATTTTGCTGCCTTGCTTCGGCCATTTTGTTCTGAGGAGAAGAGGACAGGACGTTTCCAAGATGTTTTGCTGCTTCCTCCTTCCCATACAGGAGATCACTATACAGTACAAGCATTTCAGCATTGGTGCTCAAACGGCAGTCTCTACTGCACTTAACAACAGAGGACTTCAAGGAATCTGGACAAATCTAATGGTATACAATGCTCTGTTTTTCAAAAGAGCTAAAGAGCTGGGGAGCCAAAGATGGGCAACTCAAAATGCCCTCACTCTGCTTAATGGCAGGGCTGGCCCTATGCAAGAATTATGAAAGGTAGCTTGTCCTTCAGCTTCCTGGGCACATTCTGTCTTGTGTGTATACAAAGAAAAGAAGCATCACAGCTACAAATAGTACAGATTAATAAAATGGCTTTGAATTACAGGCTTAATGAGTAAGCGACCAAACTCTTCACATCTTTTTTTGTTATCAAGGTGGCAGGAATTACCCATAACAGACAGAGAGCCAAGCAGAGACATACACACTATTAGCAAACAATCAAAAAATTTCCTGTCAGAGTATCACCTTCCTGCCATTGCTTGCTACAATTTACTCTATTTATGTGTCGAAAGTAAATTAAGTGCATCAAAACACAAAACTGAACATTTGCCAAATTAAAATAAATAAATAAATAAATAATAATAAATAATAAATCATGCAAAGATTAGAAATCACAGCCTTGTTAACAAATGTATACATTAATAGAAATAGGATTGAATAATAATGAGCTCAGAACTTTGAAAAAAAGTCACATATTTTTTAATTTGACAAACCAAAGCATTAACAACTTTTCAGTCATAAATTTGTTTATTTCATTACCTTTTTTCAGTCCGTTGCCATTTCAGTATAAAAACAAAAAGTTTTTGGTATGGCTCGATGTTAACTTTTAAAGTTTCCAAATCGGGATATTCCGTTATTTCCCAATTTAAAAGCTTCTCTTCTTTATTAATAAATGCAACAGTTTCATCAGCATCTTGTATGCGTTTCTGCAGTGTTCTCATGTCAGTGACATACTGAAAACAGATTTAACTCTCTTGAGAAATATTTAGGCAATTCAGTGAATAATGGATCATTCTATATAACTACAAGACAAATTAAGACACAATATTCTAAAAACATGAAGCATTATACCAGAAATAACACTTTTTAAGTGGAAATGGGGAGAATGTTAGGAAAAGAACAGACACCTACTTGGGAATGCACCCTACTGAACTCAGTACAGTTTAGGTAAAGGTAAAGGTTCCCCTTGACAATTTTTGTCCAGTCGTGTTCAACTCCAGGGGGCGGTGCTCATCCCTGTTTCCAAGCCATAGAGCCAGCGTTTTGTCCGAAGACAATCTTCCGTGGTCACATGGCCAGTGCGACTTACACACAGAATGCTGTTACCTTCCCACTGAGGTGGTCCCTATTTATCTACTTGCATTTGCATGCTTTCGAACCGCTAGGTTGGCGGGAGCTGGGACAGGCGACGGGCGCTCACTCCGTCGCGTGGATTCCATCTTACGACTGCTTGGTCTTCTGATCCTGCAGCATAGGCTTCTGCGGTTTAGCCCGCAGCGCCACCATGTCCCAGTACAGTTTACTTCCAAATAAATTTGAATAGGTAACCTTACCCTTTTCATAGAACCACAGTTTAAAGAGATACTGGCTGAAATCCTGTCATGCAGGATAGGCATTGCAACAATTTGTGAGAATTTGGGGATGTTAAAAGCCCCTTCCATCCTGAGGCTCTGAAAGGTTTCCCCAGATCAAAAAAGGTGCCTAAGGAGTCTCAGAATCTGCCAGGGAGGAGAGTGATAGGAAACTTAAAGATTAAGAACCATAGTTGATGACATCATTGGCCTTATGGTTGTGTGTCTTTGGCAACAGGATTCCCGCTATCGAGCACTTAATAAGTGCAGTTTATTTAATAATTTGCTGGTAAATTCCAGGGTTTGCTGCTGAGTGCAATGGAGTGAGTAGGAGGACTTAACTCATGTCCCTCTTGGAGTGTTTCACAGGATGAAAGTGGAGGAAGCATCATGTGTGAGCATAGCTGCTGAGTGCATACATGGTACAGAAGTAGCAGCCCCCTACCTCCAGCCAGGTTCCATGACACCCTCTGATCAAAACCATCTGATCTGTTCAGCCTGCCAGTGAATTGTCACACAAGTTGCTGTTATGCTCATATGTAACCTTTACCACTCATGCACTTATGTCTTTGCAGTGAACTTTTGTGCATGCCTATGGGAAGCTAAGTTATATTGAATTCAATGGGACATACTTCTGTTAAGTATGCATATATAGGATTTCAGCCTTAGGGTCAGTTTCTGGGGCAAAAAACCCTACATAACTAATAAATAAGTATCAATATTTTGCAAATAAAATTGTTTCACACAATGTAACACACTCTGCACATGTAACAAAACTTTGGCTAATAATTGCAACATACATCCTGTACTCCTTACATCATCTATGGCTGTTATTTTGGCCATAAATTGTGCATGCAGAGAGGGGGAGTGCTTGGCCTTCTAAATGGTATTGGATTGCAATTCCCATCAATCCCAGCCAGGGGAGCGAATGCAGCCCAACAACAACTGAACAGCTACATGTTCTACACCCCTCTGCTACTATCCAACCAGCCAAACAATTTTGTTATAGTGGGACAACCAACAAGAGTTTAATTAAATGGCATCATCTTATAGAGAGAACTTGTATAAAATGTTCTATAGATGGCATTTGCCACCTGATAGACTAGCTAAAATGGTTTCTAATAGGTCAAGTAAATGCTGGAAATGTCATTAAAAAACTGGAACTAATCACCTTTGGTGGACGTGTGATAAAGCAAAAAGATTTTGGGTTAAAATACATATATGGCTTATTAAAATAATTTTTAAAATGTAAATTTTAAACTAGAATTCTTTCTGTTAGGTATAATACCAGAAAATGTTGATAAACAAAATGTATATTTAATACTGCATATTTTAACAGTCGCATGGCTTATATTTGCACAGTACTGGAAGAATGAAGAAGCACTTCAAGATGAAGAAAGAATCAAAAAGATACTGACCTGAGCAGAAATGGACAGACTGACATTAAAAATCAAAGGGAAGGAAGATTCGGAATACTATTAAACTTGGAATCTGTTTTATCAATGGCTAGAAGCACGCTGTATAGATTAAATACTTAATATGTATTGTAGCTGTATTAACAAATGATTATAAGCAGAACCCAGGAGACACAATGTTAAACAATCATTGATAGACTTTAAAAATAATATCAAAACTTTGAATCAAGAAAGAATTTAATTTAATTAGCATGACAACATAAAGATTTAATGTTTTGTTCTCTGCCAACATCACAGTTTATTGACTGTTGTTTAAATACAGTGGTGCCCTGCATAGCGACGATAATCCGTGCAGCAAACATCGTCGCTATATGGATTCGTCGCTATGCTAAATAAAAAGCCCATAGGAATGCATTAAAACCCGTTTAATGCGTTCCTATGGGCAAAAAACTCACCTTTAAGCGAAAATCCTCCACACGGCCGCCATTTTCGGTGCCCAGTAAGCGAGGAATGGGCGAGAAAACACATGGGCGGCCTTTTTTTTTTTAACCCGGTGGCAATTTTGGAACCGCTGACCAGCTGTTGGAAAAACATCGCTATGTGAAAATCGGTAAGCGAAACAGCTTACCGATCATCACAAAGCGATTTTTTCCATCTAAATCATCGCAATGCAATCGCTTTTGCGATCGCAAAAACTTAATCGCTATGCGGATTCGTCGTTAAACAGGCCGCCCATTAAGCGAGGCACCACTGTACTGTGTATTTCTCACACAAAGCACCATCACTTGATATCATCTAGCACACACCTGTTGCATGCGATCCAGATCAGAGTATTCTGTGAACTCCTGCATACGACGGGTCTGCCTTTCTATTTCCAGAATCAGTTTCTCACGTTTGGCCAACAACTCATTTTCACCTTTACGTTTAGACATTTCAATAATCTGTAAGGGGCAACGAAGTTAATGGTACACATCTGTGGGGATCAATATTTATGACACTATTATCTTACAAGAATACTGCCACCTCTCATGACCAGTTGAATTAGACTGCTAAACATCACTAAGAGCCATCTACAAAATTATCCCTCCACATTTTAAACTTGCTAGGCCAAAACTCCATGCATTTTTTCAAACACCAAAATGTTTATATTTACATCATCATTTTCATCAAAGACGGGATTAATATTCTGAGGCCATAATAGGACAGTTGCATTCAGTGTCAGGTCTTCTGGGTGAAATAAATATACATCTAGGAGATAATTCAATCGCCGCTGGCATTCCTGTAAGACAGAGTTAATTAGTTGTTTCTGTTTTTAAATAAACTAGAAACTAACATTAAAGAAACACAGGCATTCCCATTTCTTACGATATTACCGTATCTACCACCACCACCCTCACAGCATTGTTCTCTGCAAAAGCATAAGTAGCAGATTTAATGCCTGGCTCTTTCATCTTTAGCGTATTCTTCTCCTTTACTCCTTCCCTACTCCCTTACACAAATATAAATACTCCCATCTCTAATCAATATGATTTGTTATCATATGATTATACTGAAGGTGGGCTTTAAGTCAAGAATTGAAATATAGATCAGAACCAACAATTTCACAGAAATGTATGATTGATTATATACTGATGGTTAGTATATGTATTCAATCAATATTATCAAAGGAAAAGTGAAAGAAAATCTACTTTGGAAAACACAGAAGGCAGAAAAGAGCAAGTGTATAAGGAGAGACAGAAAAAGGGACTATTGCAATACAGAAGAAATGAATATTCTCATAAGTAAGAGATTCCCAAAATGGGAGATGCAAGCCAGCGATTACAGAGAGAAAAACAGCATTAATATACATGAACCATGTGGAAGTCTGTACATACTGTGTAACTCAGGCACTTCAAGCACCCCTTATATACAATGAAAGATAACTGAGAATCAGATTAGAAACTGACTCCAGATCTAAAATGAACAGTTAAAAAATCCAGATGTGTGAACAAATTGTGAACTATTTTCAATGCTATATAGCCTGTGCATGAGAACATGTTATGATGGTTGGATGCTAATAATTTTTTATATACAGTGGTGCCTCGTTTGACGACGTTAATCCATTCCAGCGAAATCACTGTAGAGCGAAATCATCATCAAGCAGAGAAAAACCCCACTGAAACACATTAAAAACCGGTTAATGCGTTCCAATGAGCTAATTGTTCAGTGAAGATCCTCCATAGGGCGGCCATTTTCCGGTGCCTGTACAGCAAAAATTAAATCCTGAAAACAGCAGGGAGCCATTTTGCACAGCGGGAAGCCATTTTGAGAGCCGCCGATCAGCTGTTTTCAGATCATCGTAATGTGAAGAATCGGTTCTGAAGCAGGGAACCAATCATCATAAAGCAATTTTTTCCCATTAAACCATCGTTTTGCAATCAATCATCGTCAAGCGGATTCGTCATTTAACGAGGTAATTGTTAAGCGGGGCACCACTGTATCTGGTCTTTCAACACAAAAAAGCCAGTAAAAATCAGCTGAAATTACATTAGTATCACATTTCTAAATCTGTATTTTTTTAAAAAATGAAAATCTAAAATAGTTTTTACCTTGATCCTTTCGTACAGCTGCTGAATACCTACAGTCTTAGCCTTATCTATATAGGCTATACTTTCCATCATTTCTTCTGTTGTCTCAGGAACTTTTAACGCACGTTCTTTAATGGTTTCAAATTCACTGCATATCCTAAAAATAAACAGATAGACAAATAGTCAGACAGAAAAAAATAGACAGATTTAAACTTTTAAGAAGCATATAGTGCATTCCTATACCTGGTCAATCAAAAGTGTTCAGTAGGGCTTACACCCAAGGTACATAAAGGAATGCAGCTTTAATTAATCTTTGAGCCTGCCTATAATTTTATTTTTATTTATTTTAATTTTTTGTTCCCATATTTCTCCATTGCTATTGAAAGGGTGTCAAGCATTTTATAATAAAATATCCATGAAACATGGATAAGAAACAACAAGAAAGCAGACCTAAACAAAACTACCCCTCTTATTGCTATAAAATCTCCAAGATCATAATGGAAGTGATACACTAAGAATGCAGCTGGGAAAACACTTATGGCTTGGGCTGCCATATGGGGTTCAGGTTTTCTGGACAGATTTAGGATAGCTCCAAGCTATAACCATAATGACTTAGAAAGGCAACATAACCTCATTCAGAGTTGGTCAGCCCCTTACTCCAATGGAAAGCACATTCAGTAGGTAGGGCTAGTCAGCTTTTGCTTATTTGCCTTTTACTTACCCTTAATGGTCAATCAGATGTCATGACATAGGGCCACTTATTACACTTAGGGAGCAACTGTAAGGACGGGAAGCAGCCCTGCCTCCCTTTTCACTGAGGTAAGGTAAAGATAAAGGTTCCCCTTGACAATTTTTGTCCAGTCGTGTTCGACTCTAGGGGACGGTGCTCATCCCCGTTTCCAAGCCATAGAGCCAGCGTTTTGTCCGAAGACAATCTTCCGTGGTCACATGGCCAGTGTGACTTAGACACAGAATGCTGTTACCTTCCCACTGAGGTGGTCCCTATTTATCTACTTGCATTTGCATGCTTTCGAACCGCTAGGTTGGCGGGAGCTGGGACAAGCGACGGGAGCTCACTCCGTCGCGTGGATTCGATCTTACGACTGCTTGGTCTTCTGACCTTGCAGCACAGGCTTCTGCGGTTTAGCCCACAGTGCCACCACGTCCCAGTTTTCACTGAGGTAGGTTATAGTAAAAAAGCAAAGCAAAGCGTGCTTGCTTATATACCGCCCCATAGTGCTTCAACAACTCTCTGGGTGGTTTGCAGGTTAATTATACAGGCTACACATTAATCCCTCCCCCCAGCAAGCTGGGTACTCATCTTACCGACCTCGGAAGGATAGAAGGCTGAGTCAACCTTGAGCCGGCTACCTGGCATTGAACCCCGGGTCATGAGCACAGTTTTGGCTGCAGTACAGCCGTTTAACCACTGCGCCATGAGGCTCTTTATAGGTTATCCGTTATAGGATGCTATTTGAGTGTTTTTAATTACAGTTTGCATGTATCTCAGCCAGCACAGCCAAAAATTAAGATTATGGGAGTTGCAATCCAAAGTATATTCGAAGGCTCTATAGTTTTACATCTTTCTCTCATGTAGCCCTTATATTTCTCCAGAAGCTCTTCGCATACTCTCCTACACTGTGTCAAGCATCCCCTGCTACTGCAACCTCCACCATTTAGGAGCATGTCTAGCTCTTTATGCTGGTATTGAACACTGGGAACCCTAGTATCAAAACTCCTACTGATCAGATATTACATAATACAGCTTAGAAAAAGAGGTTACTTACCTGTAACCATAGTTCTTTGAGTGGTCCTCTGTGAATTCACACATATGGGTATTGTCTGCGCCTGCACTGACTCTCTCGGAAGATTCTAGAGCTAAAAGTAACAATTTTATGGTGTGATCCTCCACGAGGTATATGCTCCTACCAACCTTCATCTTCCACAGTTCCTAAATATTATCCGCTGGGTATGAAGGAAAGGATTAATTAAATAATTACATAGTTAACCCATGACGAACAGAGGGGCCAGGTTGTGTGAATTCACAGAGGACCATTCAAAGAACTATGGTTACAGGTAAGTAACCTCTTTTTCTTTTTTGTGACCTCTGTGAATGCACACATATGGGTGACTAGCAAGCTGCACTTACTGGTTGGTGGGTCGTCACGGTAAGAAGGATGACAGGACAGCTCTGCCGGATGCAGCATCTTGGTGTACTCTGACGTTGAGCCGGTAGTGCTTGACAAATGTGGACGGTGTGGACCACGTAGCAGCATGACAGATGTCAGGAACCTCGGTGCCACGCTAGAAGGCAGTAGAGATGGACAGCGCCATGGTGGAATGAGCTGTCAAATATTCTGGAGGGGATTTCCCCGACAAGCTGTAAGCAAGGGAAATAGTCTGTACAATCCAACGTGCTATGGATTGAGAGGAGGCTGGGGCCCCTCTGTGTGGGCCGTGAAAGCAAAGAAAAAGTTTATTGGACTTTCTAAAAGCTTTTGTCCTTTCGACGTAGAAAGCCAGGGCACATCTAACATCGAGATTATGGAGCATATGTTCTAGGGGCAATGAAGGAGACTTGAAGAAGCAAGGCAGTATGATGAGTTGGTTGAGGTGGAAGTCAGAGGCCACCTTCGGAAGAAAAGAAACGTCAAAATAAAGAGTCACTTTATTGGGGTGAAAATGGATAAAGGGAGGATCAGCTCGAAGAGCGGCGAGCTCACTAGCCCGTTTGGCTGATGTGATTGCAACAAGGAAGGCCGACTTAAGGGTCAGGAATTTGAGGTCGATAGACGCCATGGGCTCAAATGGAGGCTGCATCAAGGCATTGAGAACCAGCTGCAGTGACCACTGGGGGGTGATGCGTTGTTGAGGAGGGCGAATGTTGTTGAGCCCTTTGAGGAACTTCTTGACAGTTGTGTGAGAAAACAACTTGGAGGAGGGAGAATCATCCGGCTGGTGAGCCATGATGGCTGAAAGATAGACCTTTAATGTGGATTGAGAAGGGCCGAAACTGAAGAGATGCAGGAGATAAGCGAGCAGGGTCTTCAAAGAGACAGGTACAGCAGGCAAGTTATTGTCCTGAGTATACTTTAAGAAAGACTTCCATTTGTTCTCATATAGGAGGGTAGTGGAAGGTTTTCGGGCTCGAAGAAGACCCTGCATCACATCGGGAGTATCCTCCATGCCGCAAGACTGAGAGAGGCGACGTCTGGGTGAAGAACGAGGCCGTGGTCGAGCGAGAGGAGATCTGGGTGGAGAGGAAGGCGGAGTATGTCCGATGACATCGAGACCAGGTGAGTGAACCATGGCTGGCGGGGCCTGTCGGAGACGGACGATCACCTGCTGGATGAGAGGCAGAGGAGGAAAAACATACAGGAGGTCCTGAGACCAGTCCATCAGGAACGCATCTCCCAGAGAGTTGCTGTCCCATTCCGCTCTGGGGCAGAACCGGGGACATTTCTTGTTGGCATCAGCTGCAAAGAGGTCTATCGAGGGGGTGCCCCATCGTCTGCACAACCGTTGAAATATGACATTGTTCAGAGTCCACTCGTGTGTCCTCGTTGGTAGCCGACTGAGGCGGTCTGCCAAGGTGTTGTCGTCGGTGGAAATGTGGACGGTGTCACGTTCCCAGGGGTTACAACAGCCAAAGTCCGACAAACCAGTCCAGGGTCAAGAATACCAAGAATGCAAAGCCAATGTCCATAAATCAACTCACAGAATGAAATCCAGCGTCAAAGTCCAGAGTCCGATACACAGCGTAGTCCAGGGTCAGAGTCCAGAGTTCAGAGTCAGGAACACGGTTCAAGAAGCGTGGATGCAAGCCAAGGTTTTGACTCTTTGCTTCCACAGAATTTCTGGCTTCACTGGGAGCTGTTTTATAGTAAAACAGCTCCTTGAGCTGCTGGAAAGCTTTCTATCCTATTAATACTCAGGACTAGATGAACATAGGTTTCTGTGGACAGCCTTTGAGCAATCCTCTGATCTCCTTGTCCTAAGTCTTTCCCGAAGCTTGGCTCGAAGCTTGTCTGCTCTGGAAGGAGAATCTGGAGGCGGTTCAGGTGTTTCTGATCTCTCAGCATTCTCTTCAACCTCAGTTAACCCTTCTGGTTCCAGGTCTTCGGATGCACTCATGACAGACAGCAATAGGGAAAACATGGTGGAATAGCACCACTGCCAGAGGTCGACAGGGAAGAGCAGAGAAGGGGAATGGGTACCCCCTTGCTTGTTGACATAAAAGAGTGCAGTGTCTGTTGCCAACTGCACTACTTGTCCCCGAATGAGGGGAAGGAAGGCATGGAACACTTTGATGATTGCCAACAGTTCTAGATGGTTTATGTGAAGTGGCAGCTCTTGTTTGGACCAGAGTCCGTGAACTGTGTGCTGGAGGCAATGAGCACCCCACCCCATGGGGCTGGCATCGGTTCTGACCTGTATGGAAGGTCTTTGAGGCGAGAAGAACCTGCCGATGAGAAGGTTGTCTGGACGAGTCCACCAGTTGAGCTGGGAGGCTAGCTCTGGTGTCACCGGTAACAGGGCCGACGAAGGGTCTGTGAGCGGATTGAACAGGGAAAGAAACCATGCCTGCAGAGATCGCATTTTGAGTCTGGCATGTTGGACGACAGCGGTCGTCGATGCCATGAGTCCCAGGAGGTGCTGGGCGTGATGTGCCAAAACAGAAGGATGTGTTTGAAAAAGGCGGACAGCCTTTCGGATTTTTCTGATCCTGTCTAGAGGCAGGAAAGCTCTTGCATGGAGGGAGTCTACCTCCATGCCTATGAACTTGGCAGTTTGGTTTGGGGTCAAGTGTGACTTTTTGAGGTTGATCTTGAGACAGAGACTGTGGAGCGTATGTAGGGTTAAATCCTGCGCTTTTATGGCATTGTGGTACTATGTCGCCACTATCAACCAGTCGTCGCTGTAGGGATAAATGTTTACTCCCTGTAGCCTGAGGAAGGTGGCTACCGGCGCCATACACTTGGTGAAAGTCCAGGGGGCGGCGGAGAGCCCGAATGGGAGGGCGCAAAATTGGAAGGCAGTGCTGTTGAAATGAAACCGGAGGAATTTTTGGTGGTCCGGGTGAATGGATCTGTGGAAATAGGTGTCCTGCAGGTCGATAATTATGAACCAGTCTCCCTGGGAAAGCAAAGGGATAATA